AGTTTCTACGGTCCAAGTTGCAGATTGCTAACCGCGCTGAACTTGCGGGGGAATGTTAGACTAAGTCAACTAGTCTAGTTTATATTATTAATATTGTCTAGGGTCCAAAGTGTAATTAGTTTTACCTATATAAGGTGTATCAGATTATTATTATTTTTCAATCAATACAAATCAATATCAAGTTTAATAATCCTGATCTAGAAATGGTTGCACTTCCTATGGTACAGGGATATCTTTATTAGTTATAAGGTAACAAAACAGAATGACACAGACAGATAAAACCATTCAGAAAACTGAACTTTCACATCCAGAACCAAATAATGAAAATAAATCTTTTTATCTAATAACCATCTCCACCAAGCTTAGCTTTAACTATATTACAACCTTTGCATCCAGAACCGAATAATAAAAAGAAATATTTTTATCTTATAACAATCTCCACCAAGCTTGGCTTTAACCACACTAATGACTAAATCAATCTTTAACCACACTAATGACTAAATCAATGTTCTTTTTTTCGAGAATGAATTTTCAAGCCTTGGAATCAACCAATGTACTGAAGTGAGATGAACTTTGCAAGTAGTGAATGGCCAGGGCGTTCTCACACATTCTTCTATACGACTAGATCTTGACCAATGCAAAAAGCTCTTATAGCTCCCTTCCTGATATGACTTATCCAAGAACTGAAGCTCATCAGCCAAACTTTCAGCCAATAATAGATGAAATATTTTTACGAAAAGTAAAGGATGCTAGGGTCCTTTGGGATCATTAGGCTTCAAAAATATCATAAGGCTTTGAGTTATGGATTCCTTCAACGAAACTAATCCATTAAAATCTCATCCCAACTCTATTTTTCTCATCTGCATATACTCCCAAAACCAGTCAGCCACATGTGAGGCTTCAAAACTCCATACTCTGTGATGATGACAAGCAGAAATTTCCAATGGCTATCATTATACAGTACCCGAAGAACCTGACTTTGGTCGAGGCAAGGCAAAACAAAAGATATAAAAAGAATTAAGTACTCTATACTCTGTTATGCTATTCTGCCAGGGCAGTTCAACAAGGGGATATCACCTGCCCAAATTTTTTCCAGTTATATAGTTCAGTATAGAAGAGTAGTTATTTTTGTCACTGTGCATATGCAGTCTGCAAGAAGTTCACACCAAATAAATATTTCACAATCAGCTGTCTTGACATCGACTTACCAGAATAAATTTAAGAACATTCATGTCTCCTTTTTTTTATTTTTAATACAATTGATTAAATAAGAGAATGCTTGCCTTGTCAGATTAATATAAGTTTTGATAAAAAAAAATGAAAATTAGAAGTATTTTAGCTCAAGGCATTTTTTGAACATAAATTTTGAAAATTAGAAGTATTTTACCACAAGGCATTTTTTCACCAATTGTAAGTTCACATTATAATATTTCAAAAATTGGCAAATATCAGAAAACAGCTTTCAACTAATTTAAAAACAAATAAATCATTTTCGTACTACAGGGATAGAGCTTAAAAACCTCAGTTTTTATTCTTGCAAGCATGGCTGACATTTTTAAACTTGTACTTACTACTTAGATATTATATAAAGATAAACATCAATTTGAGTGTGCTGGTTGCAAATGAAAACTAATCATGTGATTTAAAGGTAAGAGATGTTCTGTCTATGCTGCAAGTCCCTTAGTCAGAGGAGAATGGATTACAAGTTTTCAAGAAAGCACCTCTGTGATAAATTTAAGGAGTTACAGGAATTCACAACAAGTATCCTGTGACCACATGTATGCCACGCAAGAAGCAAGGTACATGATTGCATTTTTTGACGAAACAGCTAAAAAGCTGATATGTACAAGCTCTAGTTTCTCTACGTTCTCTCAAATTTCAAATTTTTCTTACCTTTTCCAAGTAGTACGGTTCAATCCCAGTGAAGAATACAACCCCAAAGAAAATTTAGTTTATAACTCAAATACCTTATACAAATTACACTTGCGAGACTTAAGTTAGGTACAATAAATATGTATAATTCATCAACAATGCATCAAATCAATCAACTGAATTGAAGTAACCATCCCGAAACACATGACCGTTATCAACCCCCCATCAATGCAATAGGTCGTTGCAATCAATCACCATTGGTAAACAACATGACCGCTATAAACCCCCCAATCAAATGATAAACAATAATCTTGGATTTCAAAGAAGGGAGCGATTATTACCATTACGAGCCGAATCGAGAAGGGACGAAACGTCGGCCCAAACTGTCTGCTCACCGGATGGTATTGATGGATTAAGAACAGGTACATACGCTGCTTCTTTGTTAGCGGATTCTTGTTCTTCAACTCCATTACTGCTATTTTCCTCCATTTTAACGATCACAAAAGAAAAGGCAGTAAATCTCTAAGTACCGGTTGCTGCTTCTTTGTTCCTTGAGTCAGTGAGAGAGAGAGAAGAGAAGTAGTTCCAACACTAGTTTTCAAACCAGAATGTTTGAGATCGGCTCGGGTAGGGCATGTGAATATGGGTCGGATCTGCAACCGAGTTCAAGCAATGTGGTACTGGTTCAAACTCAAAATCGCAAATTCTTTAAAATTATAAATTATTAATTTCCTCTTTTTCGATTTTATCTATACTATATTATAAAGTATTTGATAAAAACTCTTAAAAACTATTTTTTATGTATAAAGTATTGTATATTCTTGCATATTATTTAAAGTTCAAGATTACAAGTAAATTATGCATATGTATAACTTATTAAAACTTGATGTTTGAATTCGTATAACATTTCAATGTATATTTATATATTTGAACATATTTATTAGTTGGTTAAATTTAGTTTTATAAAGTTTGATTCTGTTTGCAAGTTGTAAAGTTGTATAACATGATAAAAATATTGTATGAATTAGGAGTGCTCAAAAACTTGATCAACTCGACCCAACTCAGCGTAAAATAACTCAACCCGGTGTCTAATTTAGTTATAAGATTTTCAACCATCGGTATTGGGTTGATATTGGATGACCATTATTTGAACTCAACCCAACCCAATGAATCAGATATCATTTCATTTCTTGGATTTAATATGATTGTTGAATTTATATTAATATATACATTAAACAATTACAGTATCGCGTACACTCTTCATATACTCATATTTTCAATCTATTCACATCTATATATAACTCATTTATATATATTTTCAGTAACTGTGAACATGTACATGTAAATTGAGAAAATTAACTGAATTGATATACATAAGTATGAATAAGTTGTATCAAATGGTTGATGATGAAAAAGAAATTATGAGTAGAAAAATAACAAATTCAAGGTTTGAAGAATATTTTAATTCACCAAAGTATCAACCCGACCAACCCGTACGATTTGGGTTGGGTTGCACTTTGGTTTGGTTTGGGTTCAGTTAAGATTTTTCAAACCGCAAGCATTGAGTTGGGTTGGTCAAATGTCTTCAACTCAATCAACTCAATTCATGAGCATCCCTAGTATGAATATACTCGCATTTGAATATATTCGTGATTGAAAATTTGAAAACCGAGTTCAAAAATTATATATATATCAATATGGGTGTCAAATTAAAGAGAATAGATTAGTCGTTTTTATATACATTTATTTTATTAAAAACTAATTTAATTTTTTTGAAATTGTAATAAATATGTAGATTTTCAAAACTTGATAGGATATATGGGTTTCTAAAAAATTCCAAATTTTCATTCTTATTATTTATAAAAGATGTAAATATAAACTACAAGGGTGGTATATGATTGGTTTGAGCTTGACTCCAAAAGTCAAAAGTACCAGAAGGTCTCAAGTTCAAATCCAAGGAGGAATAAAAATTCCCTTGTGGCCATGGAGGTTCAAATGCGATGACTTCGGGCTATCTGCAAAGCAGGTGGTCTCCCTGGGATTAGTCGGCTCGCATAGCAGGCTGGATATCCAGGTTATAAAAAGAAACATGTAAATATACATAATTGTATCAACTTGCTATTAGTTTTTTGAAATATAATAATTTTGTTTAGCAAAGCCCAAGTTTCCTTTTAGCGGTAGTAGGTTGAGTTTGACGAAAAAAATCAATTTTTTTTCAAGGCTTCCATTTCGCTCGACTTCTGCGATTCTGTCTTATCTCAGATCGCACGCCTGCTTGACTTTTGCCCTACCGCATACTACACTCCAAGTCCACTGCCTCCCTTAATCTCGGTTTGTTGGTTCCAATCAACGCCGCACCAAGTCCTTGAAATCTGATTTTGCACTTGCTCTCTCATCCTTCCTGGTGTTTTCTTCTTATTTACTTATCTTAGACCTAATCTATTGTTTATTGAAGCTGTTTGGTGATTTCTTTAGTGATAGTCTGCTTGATTTGGTTACTGAAGCTATTTGGTTATTTGGTGTCTACTGGACTGCTTGTCTACTTGATTTAGTCTGATTCTTTCAATTGGCATTGTATTTCATGCTTCTCATGATTTTGTTTCATGAATCATGGTTCTTGTGGTTCGATCTAGCGTGGAGTACACTTGATGTCCATGTGTTTAACCTTGTATATAACTTTAGTTTTCTTCTTATCTCCTTCTTATACACGAACGCCGATGGAAAACAGAATTGTACATGCTATATGTGTATTCATTTTTATCAACGCCCTTTTTACAGTTGAATGAAAAAAGTTCCATTTTTTTTTTCCTTTCTTTGACTTTAATAAAGTTTTCATATGATATTTGATTATTAATTTATAGACTTGGATTTGACTTTGACTCTTGATTAAGTCAAAGTTTCAAACTTGGATTTGAATGGGGAAATGGAGGTCTAACTGGCTTGTGGAAACCGTATCCACATCCACCATTCATATTGTTTAATAAAGGTAATGCAACTATGAATCTCATGGAGAGTTTGATTCTGGCTCTGAATTGTTTTTGGTTTGTGAGACATGTTCACATTCAATCTAAGTCCCCAAAATCCCAAATAGAATATGAATCACTCTTGTGTGGAGTTTCTGTTGATGCAAACTATTGGAGCAAAAGTTTCATTTCTTTAAAGCAATTAATTATTTGAAGCGGTAATGAAAGCACACGAGACTTTTTAGCAATGATATGGTAACTTTTATTAATGAAAGCACGTAATTTGCGCCTTCTGTTTACCTTTTTAAGAATGATATGTTTAAAGGTCAATTCCTTAGGTTTATCTAAAAAAATGTCCATGAAAGAATGCATTTGAAATTGTAGTCAACTTTGAAAGAATGAAGCAATATAAGTTTGTCTCTTTTATGCCTAATTATGATGTCATTTGAATTTCTCAACGTGTTTGAAACATGATCCATGTATGCTAAATAGAGGAACACAAAAACCACAAAGGTGGTGCCTGATTGATTTGAACTTGACTTCAAAGGTCAAAAGTGTCTGAAGGTTTCCTTGTAGCTACAGAAGTTCAAATGCGGTGACTCCTTGCTACCTGCAAAACAGGTGGTCACTCTGATTAGGCGGCTCGCATAGCAGATTTAATATCCAGGTTAATCAAAAAAAAAAGGAACACAAGTTTTTTTTTTTGATGATTTTTGTTGTTTTTTGGCTGCTGTTTTTGTTGCTATTTTGGTGTTTTTGTTGGTTTTATGTTTGTTATTTGTTTATCGGCATGGATGAGTCGCCTAACTTGACTAGGTTACAAACCTCTAAAAAGGTTATGTGTTCTTAGTCATTGGATTAATCCAAAACCATTAGACCGATCCTGGCAGTGGTTATGATTTATTTGGGGTAGGAAACTAGTGTGGCCCCTGGCAACTACTCTTTTATGGAAAGAGGGCGGCCCCTCTACAATTAACATAAATTTATTTACGTATGGTCAACTTTGTCACATATGTTCATATATTACATGTATTGTTTACTTTGTACATTTTATGGTTGACAAGTATGTTAGCATGCAAAAAGAACAACATTACAATTTGATATGTTTTTGTAACTAGTGTCAACATAACCACACTTTCATAGGACGTTGCAAAGTAACATATGATATACGTAATGATTTTGACTTCACAAGGTGCATATAGAAGTCAGTCACAGCTAACTCGACGACGATATTCATAAAGTATCAGTACAGCGATGTAATGTGCCAATGCAGCCACTACCACAAAAATGTGGAATATTTGGTGGCTATGCCCAATTAAATCAAACCAACCAGGCCTCCATTTCTCAGGTACTCGACTAACATAAAACATAGCCCCCACCAAGTAGCAAAACGCCATGGTAGATTCGAACCCTAAAGTTGTATTCCTCTGAGCCACATTCCAATTTACGATGGTACCGTGGATTGTAGGAATCACCCCGAAAAGTCCCATTGCCACAAAAATCGAAGTACGGATGAAACGATATTTACCATTCACCCTTGTTGGAGAAAGCAATACCATGACTGCAATAACGCCTAAAATTGTGATTCCTCCAAGGTAGATGTATTGCCACAAAGGGGTGCATTGGAATGTATAATAGATTGGAGGAAAGAATGAGGTGATGATCATAACTGCGATTCCAACGTAGTCTAACTGACTGAGTAGACAACTTAGATGTTGTGTATGGCAAGAGAAGAGATGGCATAGGCTACTTGATACGAAGCAAAACATTGAACCACCCAAAAACACAAATAATGGCCAATGTGTCGCTTCTGTTTGAAATGGTGTTGTATTCATGTACGGCGACACCAATTGATGAGTAATAGTCGAAGAATGATCTGATCCAAAAGCCCTGAAAACAAATTTGAAATCAACATAAAACCTATAACAAATATCCCATTTTGGTTCCAAGACGAAACCAACATTATTATTTCTAAAACGTATATTAAATAAATACAATAATTATTTCTAATGAAGTCTAGATTTAAATTTATTTCTTTGTTAATGGGTAATAGCTACATGATTGTTCTATCTAATCCACATTTTAAGGATCTTTAATTAAACATAAAAATCAATAGTCTTTTCCATGATTTGTATGGTAATTTTTTTTTATTAACCTGGATATCCAACCCGTTATGCCATCTCCGGGTGACCACCTGCTTTGCAGATAGCCCGGAGTCACCGCGTTTGAACCTCCGTGGCCACAAAGGATTTTTATTCCTCCTTGGATTTGAACTTGGGACCTCGTGGTACTTTTGACCTTTGAAGCCAAGTTCAAACCAATCAAACACTACCCTTGTCGTAAACATTATTAAATCAAATGGCAATTGCTAATGAAAACCCAATCATACATACCATTTGGAGATGTTAAGGAAGTCTGCCACTTGATGCCATTGTGTCAAGTTTGCAATTGTCAGTGCCAAGAATGCAAGAAATCCAATCAAGTGGCTGCACATTAACAATACAAATTTGTATTAATGCATTTATCTTCGAAAAGCATCAGAAGCTTCAAACATTTTGTAAAAAGGTATGATGTAAGTTTCTGAAGTGATTTTACTGTATTGGTCCCATTTTTATTATGATGATAATAAATTGTACATCTTAGTGGTAGATAAATGGTGCCAAAAATCGGACATTTTTAACATGATACTGAGGAATCTCATTGTTATTATTCAAACAAGCATGAAACATATGAAAATTATCTACTCCATCCAACTAGTTCCGGGTTCGAATCCTGGACAACAACCACACTTACATAACTCAAAATACTCGGATTCGTTATAGTCCGCCTAAGTTTTCTCGTGTTTCTAGGCATGTTTTATCAATTTCATTCCAATTGCAATCAATCCTCTCATTCGTTCTGCAAAAATGTACTTTTTATTTCTAAACTAAAAGTATGGTAACAAAAGCCTCAAACAATATACCAAAGGCACTACAAAACAAATGACTTTTACTTACAAAAATCACTAAGGGAAATTTTCGTCAGTGATAACCAACGGATCACCCACAAGATACAAATGGTTAGGTAGAATTCGATATTTTTCAAGAAAATACCAACGGATCACTCGGAGAATTTCTTGGTAATCTGCCACTAATTTGAATTACCCACTAACTTTTGTGACAGTTTTGTGACGAATCACCTTTTAACGATGAATTTCCCAGAGAAAAGTCCTTAAGTAAAAGTCTTCCATTTAATAGTGACGCTTTCATAAAAACATTTGAAAATGAAACCATGGTTGTCTTCTGAAAAATCACAAATCTATACTATATTATAAAACAACTGACAAAAACTCTTAAAAACTATTTTTTATGCATCAAGAACTGTTTATTGATACATATTAATTAAAATTCAAGATTACAAGTAATTGTGTGTCTATACAAGTTATTAAGACTCCATATTTGAATTCGTGTACCTAACTGCAGATAAACATAATCAAATACTGGATAGGTATGTCATTTTCAATATAAAAAATCTAAAATATGTTTAGGATAATCATTAAATTCTTTTAACCATTATGATCTTTATAAAAAATTATATTATTAAACTAAAAATAAATGACTTCATTATTAAATCTAAATTAAATTATAATAAAATTTTGAATTAATAAAAAATAAGAACTTTTTAAATATTTAATTTAATACTAAAATCGATAAAAAAATTTCAAAATTTTATGACACCTTCAATTTTATATTTTATTCAAAATATAAAAAACATTATCCTTTTTTCATTACCACATAAAATCGTATTGTAACATTGACGGAAACAGAATAAAAACGAAACATTAAAATCAAAATGTATCTCACTGTATTGCACGAATACTCTTCTGGTATGAAAAAAAAGTTAATCTTATGCAAATATTTGAGAAGTGTATCGCAATTTAAAAAGTGGTATAACAAAAAGAAAATATTTTCAAATGTATATGAAATAAATAATATTTATGTCGACACCCGATCTAAAAATATTAAATATAAACTTTAAAAACAAAAATAAATGAGAGGTCTAATATAGGTGGAATCTGTTGCAACAACCTAACCACCAAATTTAATGAAAAGATAATAAAATTGAAGGAGATCTTAACAAAATCTGGATGGAATACACATTCTAATGGATCCAAAAATTTGCGAGTTTTTAGACAGTGTTTCCACAAACGAAATTCCTTGTGATCCAGACGTATGTATTCATCACGCTCTAAAATCAAGGACGGGAATCAGCTTTTTGCCCCAAAAATCGTAAAATTTCAGAGAAAAATGACCTACATTCATCCATACATGTGATGGAGAAGAGAGTACGAACTCTTATCCTAAAATTTGAAGAAAATTCTGAGATGATTGTAACATAGATATCTCGGATCATCTCCTGACATCGACAAAAAAGAGCATCACACACTTTTCCCCTAAATTTAGTAGCAAAACTACGAGATGATTATAACATATACTAATACATCTTAAATCACATCATGACGTCGGAAAGAGAGAGAGAGAGAGAGAATTACGAACTTTTTCCCTAAAATTCAGAACAAAATGTCAGATCGAGAGAGATTAAGTCACTTACGTCCAGACGTTGAGAGTTTCGTTGTGGCAAAGGAACAAGGAGATCAAGGCCTGCTTGAGAGACCAATTTGCTCTGTAGTAATTCAAGATATACTCATTATCCTTCATATAATCTGGCAGTTCTTCATATCTCAACAATGGAAACTTGTTCTTCACCTGGATCTTCTTCACCTTCTTGTTTGAATTCAGAAACTGTGTTTCATCCATCTCTCCAATTTCCCCCTTCATCACTCTCACATGGATGATATTCAGCTCAACACAAAGATATTTTCAAACCCTTTTTATTCCGAAATAAATGTATACGTCGAATTTCTTTTTGCTAATAAAACTTTAATTTAAAATTGAAACTTGTTCCACAATCTTTAAATACCAAAGGAGTGTTGCGATTGCTTATTTTAAAACAACTTATTCTTTTAACAAAAGTTTCTTATTAACTTATTATAAGTTAGAATGGTTTAACTTATTCTAAAACTTCTTATTACCGGTTTGACACCGGTATAAGTTGTTTATCCAAACACTTAAAAATGTTTATTACCGATGTCACATCAGAATAAGCCAATAAGTGTTTTTATAAGCAATCTCAAACACACCCTAAATCGTGATGTTAATAAAGTCATACCGTTATTTATATGCTACAAAAAAAAATTAATGTTTAAAATAACTCTGAATAATGAAAAAATTAAATAATCGTAAATTCAAATTCCGTGTGAGCAGAAGTAACCCGACAAAATCAAATGACCTTATCGGGATCAAACTAAGACGTGTTTGTATTTCGTGCAATTCACAATTATTTCATTTTTCTTTTAAACGGTTTTTAGTTCCATTCAGAATCATCTTAAATTAGTCAAAACCGAAACCAAATTCAAACTTGAAAGTTGAAACGACACCATTTTATGTTTTTTCATGTTTTTTTATTTTACACTTATCAACTTAAAAAAATTCGTGTTTAAATTGATTCGCGTTGGTTTGTTTCGGAATAAACCAGTTCAAGTCATCCATGTTTTCAGTTTAGTTATTTTAACGTTAGTCCAATCCAGATATAATAAACAATCTTGAGTAATATCAGTTTTAATTATAATGATAATAAACTAACAAACAAATAGATCATTAATTAGACCGTATTTTTTCCAATAAATGTAGCAAAATTTTGTTTTGGTCATCTAATTTTGACACTTAGGGGCCGTTTACCTAAACACTTACCGGGTAAGCGTTTATCGGTAAAATTCAACACTGTCGTTACTTACTGGGTAAGATTTGAGTCCACCAAAACGACATTGTATGTAATAATTTACCCGGTAAGCGCTAACCATGGTAAGAGTCGTCGCTATCACTTACCACCGGATAAGACTCTTAGTCCTTTCCTTCGCTCTTACCGGGTAAGATTCTTGGTCCTTGTCATATTCATCCGGTAAAGTAATGTGACTTGTCAAAGACCTTCCAGCTTAGTGGTAAAGGCTTGGGCATGGCATAGTCATGAACCTGAGTTCGAGCCCTGGGAAGGGAGTGTTGGCGACATTTAAGTGGGGCCATGTTTAGCCTCCAAAATTGCCGGGGATTAGTCGGGCTTTGGCCCGGACACCCTTACAAAAAAAAAAAAAAAAGTAATGTGATTTGTTAAAAGTTTACCCAGGTAAGCATTTGGTAAACGGCCCCTCAACGAATTTATTGATACGTTATTTGAGATAATTTTATAAAAAGTTAAGTAATAAGCTAGTATCAGATCAGGTGGTTTTTAATTAATTGAAAAATAAACTAGTTTACAGATGTCAAACATGAACTTAATTGTATTATATGTCCCAGATTTTATAAATATAGCAACAAATTCTTTGTACTATCTAAATTAGGTGAGGAATTAGGTTTTAGACCATCTCCAACCGTAAATACTATTTCTTGCACCAAAAGAATGTAAAATTTGGTGTAAACAATTATGTAACCATAAGGGTGGTGTTTGATTGTTTGAGTTTGGCTCCAAAGGTCAAAAGTATCTGGAGGTCCCATGTTTAAATCTAAGTAGGAATAAAAATTTCTTGTGATCACGGAGGTTCAAATGCGGTGACTGCGGGCTATCTGTAAAGCAGGTGGTCGTCTTGGAATTAGTCGGTTCACATATCCAGGTTAAAAAAATTATTCATATCCAACCAATTATGGTTCTAAATGGCGTGGCGGCGAAGCCAAGTCTCAAGCCTTAGGAGTCATTATGAGGTCACGACGTTTTTCAAGGTGTGACTTATGACGACAAATATATATATATATATATATATATCATATATATATATATGTGTGTGTGTGTGTGAATCAATCTTTATATATAAAAGAAAACCTTTGGGGTATTGATGTAGCACCATGAGAAATAAGTATTTCTAAACGGTGAATTATGATTGAGTTTTTGTTGTCCCACATTAGTTATAAGTTGAGAGATTTATACAAAATGATATGTATAAGAAAGGTGGATTGAAAATATTCTCAAACAGTAAATTGTGGTTTAATTTTAGTTGTCCCACATTAGTGAGAAGTTGAAAGATTTGAAGAAAATGGTATGTGTGGATTGGATGTTTTTGTGTAAATTCATGAGGTTTGATGCATAAGGTTGTCTTATTTTGGATGACTCTTTTTGAAATCAATAACCATAGTTGGTATTAAAACCAACCAAAGGGTAAAATTTATTGTGCAAAATTAAAAGTGAAACCAATGATGATGATGCGGTAATATGAGGTTTGAGTGTTTCTCAAATATTGAAATAAAGTTGACTTTCATCATTTCAAATTAGTGGAAAATGATAGTCTGGAAGAATATGATGAATATATAAAAGAGTGATGAATACTTTGAAAAATTTATAATCATTATTGAAATCAAAACGAATCAAATGATAAAAGGGAAAAGCTAATGGCACCCCTACCTCATACTAATGACACCCCTATAACCTATGTAATCATTCTTCTTTTTGTTTTCTTTTTATATTTTTGACTTTTTCTTTTTTATACTATTTTTTAATTATTTATACTATCTTATTAAGCAAATTTAGCAAAAGTTTTAAAATCTTAATATTTACGATTTATACTTTTATATTATTTATACCCTTTATACTCATTTTTTCATTTTTTCACCCCCTACTCTCCTCACATACACTCATCCTCTCACAACCTATTATTTTAAAATTATAATTTTAAATTTACACTTTATACCCTTATAATTAATTAATTAATTTACTTTACGTCATTTACTTTTAAATATTCCATTTTAAACATTTATCAAATTAACATACATAATCGTATATCAATTAAAACATGATTAAAAAATACATTTTTATTTTAACAAGTTACACCATTATAATCGTCTCGTTACCTTCGAAATAAGTCCAATATTAAATAGTTTTTGACTTAATTATATTATTATATATTATATATACTGTAAAAAAATATTTTTAATATTTACGATTTATACTTTTATGTTATTTATTTATATATATATTATATATTATGGGGTTAGGCTGTCCAAATTGCACTATATAATATGTTTTGGGTTTTTTGAAATATATATACATGTATTAATTCAACCTTAATCTGAGTTTCTGGATAAGAAAGAGGGTAATCAATTAAAATTTCATTCTAAAACTCATCTTTTTTTGTCTTTTCATGGCTTATGATCTGTCAAATTTGTAGTTTTCTTTATTGATTTTGAGTGTTTATCTTAAAACTCAAGTTTATTGGTTCTTTGCTCTTGGTGTAAATTGAATACATTTGTGGAGTCGTTTAAATATGTTGGATTTTAAATATATTGGATTTTAAACTGTCATACAATTTTTTTCATCGATAGTCTGTAATTGGAATCATAACTCTTATTTATTCAAATTGTATTAATATGTAAAGACCAAGTGTAACCTATATCATCGTTAAATCTTATCTTATAAAACCAGTGGAACTTTAAAATCGTTAAAATTCATGGCTTCCGCCGCATTGCGCGGGTACACAACTAGTCTTAATTAATTATAAATATACTAGTAAATAATTAAGTAAGTACCATGGCACTACTATGATACGCAGGTTCCAATATTGTGTACCAACCAAATTTGCATACCTGATACGTTACCACCAATCAAGTGTAATTGATATCAATTAAATTGGTACCAAACCAATTAATACGGTTGGTACACATGTAAATTGGTTTGATTTAGTACAAAATTGGGGCCCATAATTTCTAATATCTTTTGTTGATAAACACAATTGCAGGCTCTCGGCTAAAAAAATGGACAAAAAAGTTTAAATTGGTTAATGGGTTGTTTGATTTTTATCCATTAAATTCTGAATCTATTAATTTATACTGTATTATAAATCATTTGAAAAAAAATCTTAAAAACCATTTTTTATGCATAAAGTACCATGTATTAATGCATATTACTTAAAATTTAATACTACAAGTAAATTATGCGTAAGTACAACTTATTAAAGCTCAATTTTTGAATTCGTATAACTAACTGCAGATAAACATAACCAAATACAGAATAAACATCTCATTTTAAATATAAAAAAATTTAAAATATAATTAAGATAATCATTGAGTTCCAACAGAATCATTATTCTTATAAAAAGTTTATTGTTAAGGCAAAAATAAATTACTTCACTATTTAACCTAAATTAAATTAAAATAAAAAATTGAATTAAAGAAATTATACAAAAAAATACAGAAATTTTAAATAGCTAATTTGATACTAATAACAATATATATTTTTCAAATTTATTTTTATTCAAAAGTAAAAACATTATTTTTTTCAAAACCACATAAATCGTATTATATCCATAAATATAAAAAATAAAATAAAATATTAAAATGAAAATATATCTCGCTGTATTGCACGAGTACCCTTCTAATATTATAAAGCATTTGTTAAAAAAACTCTTAAAAGTAACCTTTTAAATATTATGTACTGCTATATAATGTTAATTACTTAATTTTCAAATTTAT